GATAAAGCTGTGGGATTTCTTATATTTTTCTTGATAAGAGGAATGTGTCTCTTGGAAACTAGATTAATATTGTGAGATACTGAGCACGAGGGGGTTAACATCTCCTCTAGAGAGACTGAGATCAGGCAGGGACAGGCAGGAGGTAAATGTCACACTTGATACACGATGGCCCATCAAGAGCCACAGACTGTCATCTTGGAAACAGTAATTTATCAAGCTTCACCTGACCCCAGACAGGATATGAAAGAGGGAAAATTCACCTAAACCAACCATGTGCAGGTGAGAAGACTTCACAGACACATGGGGATAAAAGTTTGACAAAATAATAAAAAATTGTGAAGGGAAACACTGAATAGCGAAAAAAACCCCAAACCCTTGGCTGTTTCTTTCACATTTCTCCCCAAGAAAAAAAAAAGGAATGGTGTGAGGAGAGTGAAAAGAAAAGCCATGTGAGAGTGAATGAACTGCAAAATGGGTTTTTGAAGTGGTGCTTCTCGCTCTGCTGCATTTCCAGCCTTCAAAATGTTTTCTACAGCTAAAGAAAATTTTCAGCACCCGTAGTTTATTCTGAATTTCTCTTGTTGGGGAATGGCAGTTCCCTCCTGTTAATGCCCTGGTCTTCTGCAGATGTGTAACCTCCTGGGACACTTTCTTGGGGAGCAGAGGGACCCTCCAACTGCACTAAACAACAGGGGGGAAGGCGTGGGTCCTGTTTTGGGGGGGTTCAGCCTGGAATTTGACATGGGTGTAATGCAAGGAGGGAGAGGGCCAGGTTTCCTCTCAACAGACATGCAATCAAGCGATATTGCATATATGGAAGGTGCTGGTAGCAGTTTTGGGCTTTCAGAAGAAGAGTCTAAAACAGTAACCCCCAACATCACACACTTCACAGCATCACACTGAAGGTGTGTGACTTGTTACATGTTGGATATTGCTTTGGGTACAAAGGTGCCAAGATAAGGTTGGAAGACACAGTCCCGTCTTTCCAGAGAAGAGCTCTGGTACTGAGGATCTCAGAAACTCTGCCCAGATCTTGTCTTGGAGGTGATTAGCTGCCTAGGAGTTAATTCCTTGGACAAAGGTATCAAGGTGTGAACAGATCTCCAAGGAAAAGAGAAAACATATCTTCCGTAGTGCGGTCAGTCACCATTACTGCTAAAAATATGGTGTCTTTTTAATTTCAATCTGTTCATGTTATAAATTCCAGCTATGCCAAGGAGCAGATTGATATCCTGGAAAGCACCTTTTATAGGAGAAGTACCTGAATGTTGATACCTTAGGAAGCCAGTAGTGATAAATTACTGGATTATAGGGTTTTCATTTGTTTACAGGGAGAAAACAGGAGCTACAGGCTGGCTGACCCTGCAGCAGGAGGCAAGGGCATAACAAGGGGTTTCTCAGCACTGCCTTTGATAGGCTAAATAACAGAGAAACAGCACTGGGTTCTGATTAACACACTGGGCTTGGTTCAAGGTTTTACCCTGGGAGAGCTTCTCCACAGCACAGATCATACGGTCCTTACACTCCATGGCGTTGCAGGAGCAACAAGGGATGAAGAAGCCACTGCCTTTTGTGCTTAATTTCAATAAGGGAGCTACAAAAAACCAGAGAAATTGTTAAAAAGAAGACAAAAGGGACAGCTAAAAGAGTTAAGTCCTTGCAAATAGATTCTTTGCAAGCACCGTGGGAGCTGTTTAAGGCCACTATATTGGAGACTCAGAGAAAATGTATGACACCTATTAAAAAGAAGCCCTGAGAAAGAGCAAAAGGAAAAGGTCATAGCAGAACAGTGGGATGAGGGAGGTTGCTAGAAAGAAGAAGCTGAAATTGTGTCCAAACACCAAAACCAGAAAAGATAATAAACTGTGCCTGACAAAGTGTAAAACACAATAAGGCAGCTCAGCAGAGAATTGGAGGAAGAACTTGCAAAAGGCAAAAAAAAAACCCTCTTAAAAGAAGTCTTTTTTTTTTTTTTTTTCCAAACACATCAGGAAGAGGAAACCTGATGAAGAGCATGTAGGACAGGAGATGGTCAGAGCAGTAAAGCTAATATAAGGTAAGGTCATTTGATGGAAGCTAAATGAAATATGTGTAGCCGAGTTCACCTTGCAAGAAAGAAGGGAGGTCTTTGTGCTGAACTCTCTTTTGTGGAGACTCATCAAAGGACTTGCCTTAAATGTAAAGGAGGTGAGAAGAGAGGAAATCAGCAGCAACAAATCACCAGCACCCAGATCTTTTTCCCCAAAAAAGTCCTATGGGAATTCAAGGATGAAATAGATGCCCTCTAGACCACTCTAGACCACAGCCTGCTATTGCTTAACAAAATTTACTGTGCGAAGATGAGGAGATGCTACTGTTACCAAAAAAACCCAACAAGGTCCTACAGGATTGCAAGCCATGATTGTACCAGTTATAAATATAATAACATGGGGAGAAACAGAGGAAAACCTTGTCCTAAAAACCTGTTAGAGCTCCCTGGAGGAGGCAGTGGATTTGAGAACCAGAGAGATGGGGATGCAGGAGGCAGGGACCAGCCCTATGGGGCTGAGCTTCAGGAGAGAGAGGTCATGGGGATCACTGTTGGGGGTCACTGTGGGAGCTACAGTGGCAAATTTGATCATTAAGGATCTGGAAAAGAAATTCCAGGAAAAAATTATTTCCTGTGAGGGTGGTGAGAGCCTGGCCCAGGTTGGCCAGAGAAGCTGTGGCTGCCCCATCCCTGGAGGGGTTCAAGGGCAGGTTGGAGGGGGTTTGGAGCAACCTGGTCTGGTGGGAGGTGTCCCTGCCCAGGGCGGGGGTGGTGGAACTGGATGATCTTTAAGGTCCCTTCCAACCCAAAAATTTCAATGATTCTATGGAAAAGGGGTTGAATGAAAAGATGGCAAAATTTGCTGCTGACAGTGTGTTGCTCAGGGTAATGAAGGTGATGGCTGAGGAAGAACCTTGCTGGTTTGAGTGGCTGGATCATCTGATGAAATCCAGTGCAGATCCATGGAGAGTGATGCACACAGGAAAAATCAAACTAATTTTGTATGTGAAATGAATGGCTCTGTCTTGTTTATTTCATTGCCCAGTAGAGACCAGGAATTCAAGTAATCAGGAGAGGAAGAGAGAACAGGGAATTACATCATTTACACTGTATTGCCTGAAAAATCTTGGGAATTTTACCCAGAAATTTTGTGACCCTTTATTTACTCTTTTTTTTCCCTTTCCCTGTTTCAGGGAGAAAACATCATGCCAGCTGATATCCCTGTGCAAGGAAGAGTTGGAGGCACCGAGACTTGGACGTCCCGTTTGGAGAGCGATACCTGAGGTCTGGTGAGCCTTCAGCCTCCCCCTTTTTTTTTGGGGGGGGGAGCATCAACTAGAAAAAAAAGTCCAGACGGGGTGTTGCTTTGCTGTTTACACAAACTGCACTCAACCAGAAAGGTCCAGGTCCTGTGCTGACTCTGCCCTGGTTGCCGTCTGTGGCCGTACGTGGGTGCGAGGGGCAGAGAAGCAGATGGGGACATCAACAGGAACCATCAGACCAGACGTGTTCATTATGCCTGGCATTCCTCCTCCTTCCGGGGCAGATGCACTGACTGTCACTACAAGAAAACACAGAGCTTTAAAGTATATAGCACCAGATGATATGGTAACTCCAGATTTGTGTGGAAAGTGTTGTTGTTGGGTTTTTGGGTTTTTTTTTTTTTTTTTTTTTTGGCTTGTTTTCCTTAAAATGTTTCTGCAGAAATCATTCTATTTCACTGAAAATAAGATGTAGAGAAAAATCAATGGGGAAATAACCCACGCCTTACAACCAGGATCCAATTTTTTAATCGCCCTGCAGCTTCCAGAAGCAGGGCTCAGGAAACACCCTTTCTTTTGGAGCTGCAATTTATGATGCTCTATTAATTGGCACTTAGCATAATTTCTGCCAGATACAAAAGGCAGTTTCTCCCCATATACCTGTCCTTTCAAGACGTGGAATACCACGAAATCTTCACGTGAGAGGGGTGAATAAAAGACAGCATTAAAGTGACACGGCTTTAGATGAAAAATTGCAGCAATTCATGATCACTTCATTTTTCCACTCCAGGACATGTTCGGTTGTAGTCTACAAATATGAGGGTATCTCTGCTTTGTCACTGAAAAATAAGATTTCTTTTCCAGGTTTTTCTGGCCCCCTGAGGACCCCAAGTCTTAAGGCCCTTCTCTTTTCTTTTTTGCTTTTCTTACTGAATGCACCAGTTAAATAAAATGCATTAGGAGGAAAATACAGATGATGATTGAGGAAGGGAGCATGAAATACTGCACCCATCCATTCCTGCTTGTTCCCCAGCCATGGTAACAACAGTCTTGCTGGGATCTCAGATGGATACCAATTCTTTGAGCCCTGGGGCTGAACCAGACTCCTTCTCACACATGAGACTCATGGGTTTGGCTATGATGCTCAGTGGGGAAAGGGACACCCAGGAGGGTGTTATTCCAACCAGACCTTTTTCACCCACCATTGACTGAATTCACTGTGGGAAATAGAGAGAAAACCTCCATATGTTTGGCATTTTTGTTACGAATTTTGTGCAAAAAAGAACCATGAGACATGCTGCCAATGGGCCTTTGGGGCCAGGCTTGGAGAATCTGTTTTAAACCTTCATGAAATATCGTCTCTTGTCCCCAGAGGGTTGTGTTCAGGGCCACAGAGAAGGCAAGAGGGAAAATGATACCTTCTTCCCATATCCCCACCCCGTAGGACCACTGGCAGCTCTGCCGTGGGCATTCAGGCTTTTTTTGGTGCTGATGAGCCTTTGGGTTGGGTTTGGAGAATCTGTTTTAACACTTTATGTGGGATCACGGGGACACAAGTAACCACACCACACGCTCCAGAGTTACATCTCCTTTTTTTTCTCCTTTTAATTATTGAGAGGAGGGGATGACAATTGGGTTAGACAACGGGAGAAGCCCCTCCCAAAGCCACCGCGGTGCCTCCTCTTCCCCAGAAGCTTCCTCTTCGCCTCCTATTTCCCCTTCCAGCCGGGTGGGATGCAGCAGTAGTACTTGCAGTCGGAGGAGAAGGCCCACACGTCCACCTTGCTGCAGCCGCTGGAGCAGTGTCCCACCTTGGGGCAGTGCTTCAAGACCTGCACCTGCCCGTAGCCTGCAAGGAGGAGACAAGGGGAGAGTGGTTGGGGTCAGGATAGGTGCCATCGAGCCCCACTGTCCTGCCCTCCCTTCCCCTCCAGGTGTGGCAGTGCTCCCAAGGATGAGACCCTGCTCCTAGGGAGATCCTGCTCCGTTCTTCCGCACACTAGAAGGTGTCAAAAATGTTTAAAACATCCTAAATATACATCTTACAGTCCTTTAAAGTGAGTTTTCCTTTAAAGACTCATTTGTCTGCTCGTGAACATGGAGACAACCTGGAGTAACCAAGTCGCCTGCATACCCAAATGACTTGACACCTTTATGGGGACAACAAAATCACAGACTTTAAAGCCAATAGAGATCATGTTTGTTCAAGCTGCCTACCAAGCATGGCTGACTCTGACCCTCACCACTCTGGTTCTCCCACTGTTGCCCACCATCCAATGCAATTCACCCTCTTACCTGGGACAGCCAAGGAGGCCAGGAGGAAGACAGCGAAGACAAGGTAGAGGAACCTCATGGCTGGAGCTGAGCTGGGATCTCAACAAGGCTGGAGAAAGGAGTCTTGGAGAGAGCCTGAGCTCGACGCTGCTGAGTGGCAAGGCTGGGGACCCTCATATTTATAGTGCTCTTCTGAGCAGGAGGGTTCTGGGGGAGGTTCTGTTGGTCACGAGACCTCTCATGGTTCACCACACAACCACCAGGCCCTCCTGAGTATGTTGGCAAAACTCTGCTCTCCCTAGATCTGGTATCAATACCCAATTCAAATGGAAACCATCGACTGTGACAGGAACCAACGATGAGTAGATAGAACAGATCTGCTGGGGCAGAGGGACCTGATAGGAAAGGAGATCAAGATCAAAGGGCTTCAGGCCTTTCTCAACTTTTGGCAGTGATGCAACTGTATGCAATAGGGCTGAGCTGTGGCCACGACGTACCTGTAACTCTCCGTCTGTTGTCTAGACCTGTCACCTTGTGGGGCTGGACAAGCTGAGAGGGGCCCTGGTGGGCGCAGGTTTGGCTTGGGAAGGACCCAGTGCCCATGTGTCACCCTCTTGGGAATCACGACTGCAAAATCCCTCCACCATATTCAGTGTAGCCTGTTTTGGTGTCCCCTCTCACCCCACTGATGGGCAGGAGCACTGGTGCTGAGATCCTTTTCCCAGGACCATGGGTGAGTCAACCACTTGCAGACACTTTGGATCATCAACTCTTCCTCACAAACCCTCCAGACAGCTCTGGGGTCTCAAGTGTGCTTAATTTCTGGGGTGGAGATAGCCTGTTCCCTGCTGCCAGGGGAGCTCTGATGCCGACAGAAGGTTATTCAGAGCAGTGAAAGGGAGGCTGACTGCAAAGAGTCTGCAGGCACAAGGATCTCAGCACTGAGTGGCAGCATCAGCAGATGCTCTCTCCAGAGTCTCCAGTTCTCTGGAGACACTCAAAACCCACCGGGACACATTCCTGTGCAACCTGCTCTGGGTGGACCTGCTTTGGCAGGGAGGTTGGAGGAGATGATCTCCAGAGGTCCCTTCCAGCCCCATATCATTCTGTGATTCTGTGACTCAGTGATGGCAAACTTAATTTCACCTTCCAGGAAAGAAGTGCTCCCAAAGAGCACTTCAGAGAAAAAAAAAGCCACTTCAGTGTCTGGAGGCAGTCAGAAAGGAAAATTGAGCATTAGGATTTGCTAGAATGGGCACTGACAAAAATCAGTGTGTCTCTGTAACAGTTTTGAGGGTACTTCATGCTCTTGGTGTCCCTGTCTCTGCACACATAAAGTAGGACAAGAAGAGGTACAAAGGATGGTAGCAAGGATGGTGAAAGCTGGGGACTTATTTAGAGACAGTGAGATAGTAATTTTACCGGGACTCTTCCAATGATAGCACTTATTTTCACCTTCCAGGAACAAGATGCTTCCAAAGAGCACTTCAGAGAAAAAAAAAGCTACTTCAGTGTCTGGAGGAGGCAGTCAGAAAGGAAAACTGAGCATTAGGATTTGCTAGAATGGGCGCTGACAAAAATCAGCGTGTCCCTGTAACAGTTTTGAGGGTACTTCATGCTCTTCGTGTCCCTTCTCTGCACACATAGAGTAGAACAAGAAGAGGTACAGAGGATGGTAGCAAGGATGGTGAAAGCTGGGGACTTATTTAGAGACAGTGAGATAGTAATTTTACTGGGACTCTTCCACTATAGAAGGAGATAAGTACATGGGGATATGGGACAACAGTGTCAAAACTCTAAGTATCCTACCAAAAAGAGAACTGTGGTTTTCCATTTCTGGTAACCAGGGAAATAGAAGATGGCATTCAAAAGCATGATGCACTGGACAAAGAAATTCTCCTTTCATGCTGCACACAAGGGGATGGTGCAACTCATTGCCATGGATACTGCGGTGGAAGAAATTGTAAATGTCTTCATAAAGCAAGTAGGGTGGTCAACCTAAGTTTGAAGTTCTGCTCTGAGCAGCTGGCTCGACCAGATGACCTGCAGAGCTCCCTTCCACCCTATGTTATTCTATACTTCCATGGAATCCATAAAATCGATTGAGGAGCATTCAGTACAATGATACGGATCTGACAAAAATCAGTGTGTCTCTGTAACAGTTTTGAGGGTACTTCATGCTCTTGGTGTCCCTGTCTCTGCACACATAAAGTAGGACAAGAAGAGGTACAAAGGATGGTAGCAAGGATGGTGAAAGCTGGGGACTTATTTAGAGACAGTGAGATAGTAATTTTACCGGGACTCTTCCACTATAGGAGGAGATGAGTACATGGGGATATGGGACAACAGTATCAAAACTCTAAGTATCCTACCAAAAAGAGAACTGTGGTTTTCCATTTCTGGTAACCAGGGAAATAGAAAATGACATACAAAAGCATGATGCACTGGACAAAGAAATTCTCCTTTCACGCTGCACACAAGGGGATGGTGCAACTCATTGCCATGGATACTGCGGTGGAAGAAATTGTAAATGTCTTCATAAAGCAAGTAGGGTGGTCAACCTAACTTGAAGTTTGCTCTGGTCTGAGCAGCTGGCTGGACCAGACGACCTCCAGAGCTCCCTTCCACCCTGTGTTATTCTATACTTCCATGGAATCCATAAAATCGATTGAGGGGCATTCAGTACAATGATATGGATCTGTATCCAACTCAACAACCCCCGAATCTCAGACTGCTGGATTTGGGTGGGTGGGTGTCCTGGTTTTGGCTGGGATAGTGGGACTCTTCCACTATAGAAGGAGATAAGTACATGGGGATATGGGACAACAGTGTCAAAACTCTAAGTATCCTACCAAAAAGAGAACTGTGGTTTTCCATTTCTGGTAACCAGGGAAATAGAAGATGGCATTCAAAAGCATGATGCACTGGACAAAGAAATTCTCCTTTCATGCTGCACACAAGGGGATGGTGCAACTCATTGCCATGGATACTGCGGTGGAAGAAATTGTAAATGTCTTCATAAAGCAAGTAGGGTGGTCAACCTAAGTTTGAAGTTCTGCTCTGAGCAGCTGGCTCGACCAGATGACCTGCAGAGCTCCCTTCCACCCTATGTTATTCTATACTTCCATGGAATCCATAAAATCGATTGAGGAGCATTCAGTACAATGATACGGATCTGTATCCAACTCAACAACCCCCAAATCTCAGACTGCTGGATTTGGATGGGTGGGTGTCCTGGTTTTGGCTGGGATAGAGTTGACTTTCTAACTGGCAGGTGGTATAGTGCTATATTTTGGAATTGGATTTAGGATGAGAATAATGTTGATAACACACTAATGTCCACTGGCCACAGGATCATGGAGTGGGCCCTGGTACTGTTCAGTTTGCAGACAGAGAAGCAACCATGATGATTTATTGTGTGTTGTTACCAAAAATGCATGGAACCAGGGATGTCCCCGGAGCCACTGATCCACATCCCACAGGCAGAGCTCCTTAGAGCCCTACATCATCCCTCTTGGGAAGGTGTCTTTGGGAATACCACCCATAAGTGGATTCCCCCACATCATTTCCCCTCCTTCAGGACACCGTTCTCCACCCCACTAGAAGTGCCATCCTATATAAAACATGGAACTGTCATCACTGCAGCTTCAGCCCACCGTTTCTCATCTAGACCACCCTAGTCACAGGTAACACATTATTCCTTTCCTATATATTCTTTATTCCAGATTTGTGGGGATCATGGCTCCCCTTTTTTTTTTCCCCCATCATCATGGACTCATTTCTTCCAGATTTTTGTTATAGGTCCTATTTTCGTGGTTCCTTAACCCTGTCAGCTCTAGGCTTTCTCCAACTATTCCACCTCATCTTGACGTATCGTACCTCAAGCAGTAAAAAGCACACAACCTGAAAGTCTAGCAGTTTGGAGTAATAAGTGGATTAATTTAAGTGCCTGACATGTGATAACCCTGTTGGATTTTTTTGCAGAAAGAATGATTTCTGCCTTTTCTGTGACTGGATGACATTACACCACTACGTGCCCCTTGTTGCCCACTGCAGCCTCACGCTCTCCTGCGTTGCCAGATATGGCTCATTCCACCTTTTGCTCCTGACAAAAATTAAAAAGTCACCAGTTTCCTGCAACATGCTGCAGTCCCTTTCAGCCTGCTATTTGCAAATTCGGTGAGCTCAATCTTTATTCCATTATGCAATTTGTTAATGAAGACCCCGGGTAGTTCAGGACTCAGAACAGCCTTCTGAGATGTCCTACCATCACCATGGTAACTGGAAATTTATTAAGTCCTGTTCATAAACCATTTTTCCTTCATTTCCTTCAGGCCATGATCAATACTGAAAAAAAAACCCCAAACCCTAAAATTGAGACAAAATACCCACCCAAATGAATGTGATGAAAACATTGTAGAGTCCCACGTTTCGGGGAGACCCTTGAGGAACCTCACTGTCAGGACACCATTTGAGGATGGAAGCCCCCTGAAAGCTATTCCCCGTGATGGATTCGATGCCCTGGTATTGTCCATTGTGCCCGTGCCTTGCAGACAGTGTCCAGAGCTTACCAGAAAGGTACCCAGATTGAATTCCTGTCCCTCTGGGGATCAGCTCTGCTGTTGGCAGCCCTGGCTGGTCCTGGTGGCTCCATACGTGCTGGCAGCAGAGACCTGGCAGCCAGATCTGGGGGAGGGGGAATTGTCCCCGCGTGTCCGGGTTGGTGAAAGTGGCCAGCAAGAGACGAGGAGAAACCTGTTGGAGCATGGACCTGGCTGCCAGGAGCCTTTGTGAGTGGGACCAGCGGGTCGGGGTGACATTGCACACAGCGGAGAGCAAACAACACCTCTTTGGAGATGGGTTTGCTCAAGTTTCTCCTCCTGCCCCATTGCTCGTGGCAGGAGTCCATCTCTAAGCACCGATGTCTCTATCTTTGTTTTTGATGAGCACTGCTCTTTGCTCCTGGCGTGCTGAGATCTCCACTAGCCTCCAGGCATGAGCGTTTTCTACACTGTTCTGCTTTTCTCTTGTTTTGCTCCCTGCCCACCCAGGTTCCACAGCAGCTGGGATGCTACAGGG